CATAATTTTCTTTTCTTTTTTTTTTTGTTTTAAGAGTCAGAGTCTCACTCTATCACCCTGGGTAGAGTGCTGTAAAGTCACAGCTCACAGCAACCTCCAACTCCTGGGCTTAGGCGATTCTTTTGCCTCAGCCTCCCCAGTAGCTGGGACTACAGGCGCCCACCACAACGCCCGGCTATTTTTTGTTGCAATTTGGCCACAGCTGGATTTGAACCCACCACCCTCGGGGGCCGGTGCTCTACCCATTGAGCCACAGGTGCCACCTGGTTTACGTTTTCTAAAGCTGTTAACAGAAAACTCAACGTGGAGGACAGTTCTGATAAATCCAGATCCCTTCAGCAACCATGTACTGATTTTTTTTTTTTTTTTTTTTTTGAGACAGAGCCTCAAGCTGTCCCCCTGGGCAGAGTGCTGTGGCATTACAGCTCACAGCAACCTCCAACTCCTGGGCTCAAGCGAGTCTCCTGCCTCCGCCTCCCAAGTAGCTGGGACCACAGGCGCCCGCCACAAGGCCTGGCCATTTTTTGGTTGCAGCTGTCATTGTTGTTTGGCAGGTCCGGGCTGGGGACTCGAACCTGCCACCCTAGGTGTACGTGGCTGGCACCTTAGCCGGTTGAGCTATAGGCGCCAAGCCCATGTACTGATTTTATCTCTTACTTAATTGGTGTCCTCTGACTGGTGTTACAAGTTCAAGGTCAGGTGAGATGCTCACGCCTATAATCCTAGCACTGAGAGGCTGAGGCAAGAGGATCACCTAGAGTCAGGAGTTGGGGACCAGCCTAAAATTGGGACCCTGTCTCTAGTCAGAAAAACTAGCCCCGTATAGTGGTACATGCCTGTAGTCCCAGCTACATAGGAGGCTGAGACAAGAGAATTGCTCAAGCCCAAGAGATTGAAGTTGTTGTGAGCTACAATGATGCCATGGCACTCAATCCAGGGCAAGAGAGACACAAAAACAATTACAAGTTCTATACAACATGGGTAAGCTTAGGAGCTATTCACAGTAAAATAGGACTCCAATTCATGTAGACAACCACATCAAAATACACTATGCTAGGACTTATGAAGCCAACTAGGTTAGGGGAATGAATAGACTGTACAATTATGTCCAGGTAGTATATACAGTGGAAATATGCTTTACTTGTTTCAAAAACCCAATCTTTCATAACTGCTTACATATGCTTAAAATAAGTTCCAGGGTAATTGAAAACCTATACTGGCCCCAGTGATTGAACTATTATTTCTAAGGTGGCTTTCACCACTACCATATCACCTTATTTCACAATTCTTTTGTCTTAAATTTCAACAGAAGACCAAAGGTCATAGTTGTGTTAGATTGAGACAAGATTTCCGTGCATTGAGGTGTGAGGTTGCATACAGCTGATTTAGTTGGCACATGCACATCATATGCTGTGCCCACTATTGGTGGAAGTTGGCATGCAATAATGTCACAACTTTGTCTCAGAGTAAAAAGTCAATTTCTGTTTAAAAAAAGAGGTTAGGGTTATTTTCATGCATGCTATTAAGAAATGATAAGTAGAGGTCCACGAGGGTAATGTTAGAAAGTAGGTTACTTCATGTAAATTAAAACAGTAGCTCATTTACACAAGGGTATGCATTCAATTAAGTATGTATTGGGGTTATGTCTTAAGTAAATTGATTATGGATCTCATCTAATTGATGTTCTATATTTAAGAAAATTATTCCATCCACATGCAAACTTTATGTTGGAAAAATATATTTGAGATGTAAACATGTTACACCAATTTACCTAGAATATACATTTTCAGATAGCCTCACTTTTCAATAATATATTTCATTATGTTTATGACATGGTTCATTTTGTACTGTGTGGATGAAATGGAAAAAAGATGTAAGGCTGACAAGTGCAAGAATCAAAGAAATTTTAACAATGGCCAAGAACCATTAGAAATGGAATTGAGGAGCAGCGCCTGTGGCTCAGAGGAGTGAGGAGTAAGGCACCGACCCCATACGCCAGAGGTGGTGGGTTCAAACCCAGCCCTGGCCAAAAACTGCAAAAAAAAAAAAAAAAAGAAATGGAATTGAGGGACAGTAGTTTGTAGGATTCCCTAAGAGGCGGGAGTTGGTAACTGTGCAACATACTTTGAACTAAGTGGGCTAACCTAGAGGGGTCTTATATCAATGAATTCAATGATCATAATATGGACCAATGCAGAAGATCTGAAACCCAATTTGAGTAACAAAAGAGGGGAAGAAATGTTAGATGGCCAGTTTTAGGCGTGAAATTATCATTTCAAACAAATTTTATTTCCTTGTTTCATGAGAAAGAGCATACTAAAAACAGTATAGCCACCATACAATCACAATGAGCCAGAACACTGAATAAGCATAAGCTGTTTTAAAAATCACAGGGCAGGGTATGGGACCATGAACTGTTAAAATTAGGAAATAGAGTCCAACAAAGTAGGAATCCAATGTGGTTCCTACAGGAGGGCAAACAGGGTAGGCAGTCCATTCGTGATGTTAATTATGACAATAGAATGGAAACATTGTAGTCGAGACTAGATATTTTAATAGATATTTTTAGTAAACTGCAACAAGATTCACAATTCCTAATCATTCCATAAATGAACACTGGTGTTTAATGTTTAGATTGTTAAACTTATTTAAAGGCAGAAACAAATTGATTTGGAAATGGTAGATACATTATCACGATTGTTTTGAAGGTAATTTGCTATTTCCTTTAAAAATATTTGTAAAGGTCAAAAAACATTTGTAATTCTTCAAGTTCACTATGTCATAGGTGATGCTTCAAAAGAAAGTAAAAGTGGCTGGTAAAAGTGAGTGCAGTGGTGTTTGGTATTTACAAATCATTGATCGTAACACTCCCACTGCTTTACTGTCTAGCCTTTACAAACCCATTTTGCAATATAAAAAAATGCAAAGAAAAACAAAACTGATAATGAAAATTTTCAGGTATTCAGTTAAGTGTAGACCGGAATAGATGGGTGGATGGATAAAGGGCCATAAAACTTGTACCCATTAAATTAGATGAGGAAATCATTTCTAGTGGGAGCTAGGCCTAAAATCTAAAAGGTTTTATCACAAGGGTGTATTCCTGATAGTCTAATACTAGTAAATATCTCACTGAAGCAGCTGAAGCAATAAACGATCACTTATTTATATTCTTATATGCATAAGAAACCGTAGGCTCACAAAAATATACATGTTTCGAAACAGAAATCTAAGGCACACAAAATACTAAAACAAGTAAATGAATTACCCTATTTTACATATTCAAGAAGCAGACATCTGCTTGTATAGGATGATGGTCTATCAATGGACATTTTGTTATTTACAATCCCTTCATATTCCTTTACTTGGTTTAGTCAAAAGCTTGAAACTGATACTTTGCACCATATATATTTTAAATAAGTTACAACATGTTTTTCCTTAGAGAGTTTGATGGAACTGTTTGCTTTTGCACCAAAATTTTGAGTATAAGCAGTTGTGAGCTTCCTATGGCATTTCCAAGGGACAAGCACCATTAGGTTTCCATACTCCCGAGGAATCTGACACTTTGAATGTTATAGCACCTCTACATTTTAACAGAATCAAGTATTTCATTGAGAGTTCGTTCTAAACATGTCGTTTGGGTAATCCCTTTTGTTTTGCCTTAAATGAGTCAATAAAATAATGGGGGAAAAATGAACAAAATGCCTGTGTTCTTGTTACCTAGAAAACAGGCAATTATAACAACTAATCATTTTCCCAAACATAATATGCTAAGATAAATGAATGGATTAGCCTTTAATAAACAAAACCATGTTTATAATACTATTTCTACTGTTCATTGGGTTTTGGGAGGGGAGAATTTTTGATTAGAAATTTGTTTTCTATAGATTTCTACACTTTATTATTATTGTATATCAGATTTTCAGAACAAATAAGGCAATTTGGGATGGATACGGTTCTGGCTACGAAATTTTTACATTTGTATCACCATGAAACATGAGAAACACCTGATGCTTTTGAAACCTATTCTATCCCATCATCTTTTTGTAACATCTCATAGATTGAGAAAGTGGGGTGAAAAGAAATTGAGAACAGTTTGCTGAATAAGCCAGAAGAGACACTCTTAGTTAATTTGAAACAAAGAAAATGTTAATCAATGGTAGAGATAATTTACAATTTTTGCATTAACTATTTTGTATACTATAAATTGCTAATATTTGAGAATGTGAAAGGACACATTAAAAGAACACAAACCACGTGATTAGAATACATATTGCAGTTAACAAGATGGAACTCTACACAGCAAGGGTAAATGATTTCTCTTGTATGCAAATATGCAAACAATAGACAATAGGATTCTTATACTCTATAATTTCAAGTTACTTTTAAAAATAGAAAAGTGCTTTTAAAATATATATTTACAATTTCTGAACAGCCTCCAACCATTACTAACAATAATCAATTATTTTATACAGGAGAAATTTGAGAAAACATTTCATAAGTTGATTTCAAAGGAATATGCAGATTCTCTAGCAATGATTGGAAGATGTTGGAACAATGGCACCATCAAATAATAAGTCAGCTTATTTTTAACTGTGTCAATGTGGTTAAGCACCAGGAGCTGTGTAGAGTTAACACTGTATCTTGATGTTTCCTCATAGAACCTGTTAAAATCCTCTAAAAATGACTCTTGTTTCATAGTAAACAGACTTAATTGAAAGCACCAAACTGAGTGATTCTATCAAGGTTAACACCTAACCAAAACATTTCCTTTATGTATTTAAAACTATAAAACTTTTATTTTTGCTTAAAATGTGCACCTTCTACCAATTGTCAAAATATAGTCACAGTTAATACCCACCCCATTTTTTTTTTTTTTTTTACCTCTGACTTGAAATGGGTGAGATGAAGATATAGTAAACGACAACATGACTTTCTCTTAACAGCACCTTGAAAAAATACACAGAAGTAGCAAAGGCATTAAGAGGGGAGGGGGAAAGCATTCAGACCCAATGGTTGTAGGGCCCTGCAACATGTGTGAGAGCGTAAGTGGACACGGTGACCACGCTGTCACGGGTTAATGTTAATGCTCTACGAGAAGGAATTTGGTTCAATTCATTTACTCCAGAGGACAATTCAGGACCCTCATTAGCTGCCTGGTCTTTCTGCTCTGAGGTTTTCATCTTCTTCTTCTTAGCTTCTTTAGCTTCAAACTTCATCCTGTTTAGTTCAAAACCATGTTGGGGCTTATTCAGGTTTTTGTGCTGGTAAAAGACAAGGGAGAGGCGAGTAGGATGATTCCGGTTTGGGTGCTCCACGGCTGTGGTAGCGTGAAGCTCCCGTCGGGCGCACTCAATCAAAACCGAGCCGTGCGCAGGCGCGATGGCCACCCCGCCAATGTTGGGATCCAAGAAGATGTGCTCGTTGTCTGACCAGTACTCATCAATATGGGGCAGTCCCTCTTCAGGCTGTGACAGGGGCTCCTCAGAGAGAGGCTCATCTGACATGGGCTCATCTGCTTCAGAATGCTGCTCATCATCTCCCATCAGAGTGGAAGCAAGGTCAGGGGAGGGGAGGAGTGAGGACTGCTGGTTTGGCTGATGAGCAGTTGACTGCTCCGGCGGACCAGTGGGAGGCTCAGAGAAAACTAAGGAATCGGTCCTAGGTGTAGACAGGGTGGGAAGAGGGGACATTTCACAGGGTTGTGCAATTCCAGTGCATTCTCCAGCAGCTGCTTGGGCACCGCTGAGGCTTTCACAAGGCATCGTGCAGTGGGATATGATATTTCTTTCTGAAAACACCTGGGAGGCTTTTGCATCATTCTTTAATGTCGCTGTGGTGGTCGTAGCACTCTTCAGGGAGCAGGAGAAACCTGGAGATATATTTGCTTCCTTTGGTGGGTGAGGAGCGGATGGCATGTGGGAATAGGTTTTAGTGTTGTCTGAAACTTTAAAGATAAAATGGGGTTCCGTTTCACTTTTGATTTCAGGTTGCACTGTCTCAGTTTTATTCCCTAAACAGAGAAAACAACACCAAATGTGAAGATAAATACAAACTACTTTTTGTAAATGTTGTCTTAAAAAGTATTTTAAGGTCTTGCAATCCCATTTACTAGGCTTCTACCCAGCAAGGGGAAAAAAAATTATCATAAGGACATTTGCACTAGACTGTTTATTGCAGCTCAATTTACAATTGCCCAAATGTGGAAACAACCTAAATGCCCATCAGTACAGGAACGAATTAATAAGCTGGGGTAAATGTACACCACGGAATACTATTCAGCCATTACAAAAGATGGAGACTTTACGTCTTTTCTATTAACCTGCACTGAGTTGGAACACCTTCTTCTCAGGAAAGCATCTCAAGAATGGAGAAGAATCCAATGTACTTAATTCTAATATGAAGGCAGTAGATGATCTAATATGAGGTAGGGGGTAGGAGAATGAGGGAGGTGGGAGAGGGAAGGAAGGAGGGGGATGAGACATCACAGCATATGGCATACCTCGTGGGGCAGGACACAGTTATAAGAGGGACTTTACCTAACAAATGCCATCAGAGTACACAGAATACAAAACATTGATGTTGGCCAGTTTTATTCTATTTATTTCTAACCACATTCACTACACAGAATCCTTCCATTAGCAAGTAATCCTGAGTGAGTGCAAAGATTCATCGAAAAGAGTGGATGTTCATTCTTTAAAATAGTAAGACAGTACAGTGCCTATAGCTCAAAGGAGTGAGGTGCCAGCCCCATATGCTGGAGGTGGCGGGTTCAAACCCAGCCTCGGCCAAAACAAAACAAAAACAAAATAGTAAAACATTAGATCTTTCTAAAGATCTAATTGGCTATGAAGCACAAAACACAACTATACATTGGAATACTGAGCAAGTATACCGTACTATAATGTAGAATAATACATTAAAAAAAAAAAAACAACTTTGGCTCGGCGCCTATAGCTCAACCGGCTAAGGCGCCAGCCACGTACACCTAAGGTGGCGGGTTCGAATCCCCAGCCCAGACCTGCCAAACAACGATGGCTGCAACCGAAAAATAGCCGGGCGTTGTGGCGAGCGCCTGTGGTCCCAGCTACTTGGGAGGCAGAGGCAGGAGACTAGCTTGAGCCCAGGAGTTGGAGGTTGCTGTGAGCTGTAATGCCACAGCACTCTACCCAGAGGGACAGCTTGAGGCTCTGTCTCAAAAAAAAACAAACAAAAAAAGATTTCTTTTCTTTTCAGACAGTCTCACTCAGTTGCCCTGGAGAAGAGTGCCACAGCATCATAGCTCACAGCAACCTCAAACTCCTGTGCTCAAATAATTCTCTTGTCTCTGACTACTGTAGCTGAGACCACAGGTGTGGGCCACCAGGCCCAGCTTTTTATTTATTTTATTTTATTTTATTATTATTATTTTTTTGAGATGGAGCCTCAAGATATCCCCCTGGGTAGAGTGCCATGGCATCACGCTCACAGCAACCTCCAACTCCTGGGCTTAAGCAAGTCTCCTGCCTCAGCCTCCCAAGTAGCTGGGACCACAGGCGCCCGCCACAACGCCAGGCTATTTCTTGGTTGCAGCTGTCATTGTTGTTTGGCTTTGGTGGGCCCGGGCTGGGGGCTGGGGATTCGAACCCGCCACCTTAGGTGTATGTGGCTGGCGCCTTAGCCACTACAGGCGCTGAGCCCACCAGGCCCAGCCTTAAGTGGAAAATTATTTTACAGAAGTATCTCCCTTCTCTTTCATTACAACTGTTCTAAGAGCTAAAGCAGTTCAAATTAGTTCATAAAAGTCACTAAAGAACAAAATATCAGGCTCGGTGCCTGTGGCTCAAGTGGCTAAGGCGCCAGCCACATACACCTAAGGTGGTGGGTTCGAATCCAGCCTGGGTCCGCCAAACAACAATGATGGCTGCAACCAAAAAACAGCTGGGCATTGTGATGGACGCCTGTGGTCCCAGCTACTTGGGAGGCGGAGGCAGGAGACTCGTTTGAGCCCAGGAGTTGGAGATTGCTATGAGTGATGACACAGCACTCTACCCAGGGGATAGCTTGAGGCTCCGTCTCAAAAAAAAAAAGAAAATATCAAAAGTAGTGTTAACTAAAAATAAATTGATACTAAGGCAACTCAAGAGAACAGGAAATGACACCATTTATACCAAAAAATGAATTAATAAGGGCTTCAAATTATATGGGAAATTGAGTTAATTATTATTTGCTCTAAAATTTCCATTTTCATAATGTCTCATCAGTAAGACAGAAGTAAAGATCAAGGAAAACATGAAAGGGAAAATCCAAACCCTTTCATCAAAGAAAGTTGTACAGAGAAAATTAGCTGGTTACACAGGACTCACCTACGAGTGGCAGTGAGGAAGGCTTACTGTGGCTTGTTGCCGTGCGTTTGACTTTAGGAATGACCTTCTTCTCCACGGCTCTTATCTTATGTGCTAGAACCTCGGTCATCATTGCAGCCCTCTTTTTACCAGAACGAGGAACAGGCTGAGTGAAACGTGTTCTTTTTCTGCGTTGGGGTTTGAGGACCTCGATGGCCCCAGATCTGATTTTGGCCTCCATTCCTTCCCTTGACCCAAACTCATCAGTGTCTGCAAGTTTATAAAGAGGTAGCACATGCAGCTGCTCATCTTGTGGAATAACACCCAAGGTGCGGTTATCTTCCCGTGTTAAAGTACAAACCTGATAGGAAGAAGACATGAAATGGGAAATATAGGTTGTCCAAATGCACATTGGTTATTCCTACATTCTTTATGTTGCCATTAGGAAAGGAATGTATTCTCATTTGATTTTCCATCAATTACCAATGATGAATGTATCAAGGCACCTAACTATTTAATATTTAATTTTAGTAACATATCATTTGTGTGTAAAGAAATCAGAATAATTGTGTTGATTTGGTGAATAAAACATCTATATATTTTTTTGAGACAGAGTCTCACTATGTCACCCTTGGTAGAGTGCCATGGCATCACAACTCATAGCAACCTCAACTACTGGGCTTAAGTGATCCTCTTGCTTCAGCCTCCCAAGTAGCTGGGACTCCAGGCACCTGCCACAACGACCATATTATTTTTTTTTGTTGCAGTTGTCATTGTTGTTTTAGCTGGTCCCCGGCCGGGTTCAAAACTGAAAGCCTCATTGTATGTGGCCATTGACCTACCCACTAGCTATAGGCGTTGCCCGATAAAAATATTATAAAATGGTTACATATTTTGGGGGCAGTGCCTGTGGCTCAGTGGGTAGGGGATGAGCCCCATATACAGAGGGTGGCAGTTTCAAACTTGGCCCTGGTTAAAGTGCAACAAAAAAATAGCCAGACATTGTGGTGTTGCCTATAGTCCCAGCTACTCAGGACACTTGGGAGGCTGAGACAGGAGAGAATCACCTAAGCCCAGGAGTTGGTGGTTGCTGTGAACTGTGATGCCACAGCATTCTAATGAGAGTGATAAAGTGAGGCTCTGTCTCTAGAAAAAAAAAAAAGGTAAGTTGGATGGCGCCTATGGGTCAGTGGTTAGAGCTCTGGCCCCATATACTGATGGTGGTGGGTTCCAACAGGCCTGGACAAACTACAACAACAAAAATACCCAGGTGTAGTGGCAGACACCTGCAGTCCCAGCTACTTGCAAGCCTGAGGCAATAGAATTGCCTAAGCCCAGAAGTTGAAGGAGCTCTGATGCCACCGCACTCTACCCAGGGCGACAGCTTCAGGTCTGTCTCAAAAAAACATAAACATAATTTAAGCTTATGAACAAAAACCATCACTTAAAACTGGTTCTGGCTCAGCGCCTATGGCTTAAGTGGCTAAGGCACCAGCCACATACACCTAAGGTAGCCAGTTTGAATCCAGCCTGGGCCCACTAAACAATGATGGCTGCAACCAAAAAAATAGCCGGGCGTTGTGGCAGGCGCCTGTGGTCCCAGCTACTTGGGAGGCTGAGGCAGGAGACTCGCTTGA